TCACAAGACAACCGTTCCTCTTGTGAATACCAATACGTAACATAACATGATGTACTCTACAGTTGGAAGTAGTATACACCTTAATTATTGAATAAAAAAATTAATTAAAAAATAGAAAAGAAAATGATGGGGGGATAGAAACTACATAAAATTAGGAACAAATAATTAATAGGAAAAGCTTAAATTTGCGACAATATAAAGCCATACCATCATTAGGCATAGTCAATATGGGAATCTGCGTAATACTGCCGTTTCTTCCTTCTACACGTCCGGCACGCTCATAAATGGTAGATAAATCGGTATACATATAACCAGGATAACCACGACGACCTGGTACTTCTTCACGAGCAGCAGAAACCTAGCGGTAGAGAAAGAGAAGGGGAGAGACAGTCATAAATTCAAATGACATGAGTTACTCCATTGAAATTCGCATGACGTTGGCTGAACACAAGGCTTGACCCACCTCACGTAACGCATCAGCATATGAAGACATGTCGGTCAAAATAACCAATACATGCTTCTCAAGCTGGTAGGCATAGTACTCTGCTGTAGTTAAAGCTAGACGAGGAGTAATAATACGTTCAATCCTGCAAATCAGCAATACATTAATAAGAATTCCTAGTTCATCCTTTCGTGTCAAATCCGACAACATTTGTCTTGTACTTACGTTGTATCATTAGCCAAATTCAAAAAGAGCGTTACTCTCTCGATAGAACCGTTCTCCTCAAAGTCTTGTTTAAAGAAGCGTGCTGTTTCCATGTTTACACCCATAGCAGCGAACACGATAGAGAAGTTATCCTCATGGTCATCAAACACACCCTTGTCTATTTTCTTGACCAAACCGGCTTGACGACAGATCTGTGCTGCAATCTGAGGTACAGGGGGAAAAAAATAAATTGTACGTGATTAGCAATGAACACGAACATGAAAAAATAAAAGAACACTTTCCCCATACTTCGTTATGCGGTAACCCTGCAGCTGAAAAGATAGGTATCTTCTGTCCACGTGCGATCGAGTTCATTGTGTCGATTGCTGAAATGCCCGTCTGAATCATTTCCTCGGGGTAAATACGTGAATATGGGTTGATTGGTGATCCTTATTATTAAAAGATAGCGAATTTACTGCACTGATAAGAATGCGTGTAATACTATATTCGCAATCAACAGAATACGTCTTTGCTTAATGCACACCATTAATATCTAAAAAATCTTCTGCAAATACTTTAGGTCCCTTGTCTATCGACTTTCCAGATCCGTTGAAAATACGTCCTAACATGTCCTCCGACACGGGAATCTTGAGAGTATCGCCTGTGAATTCCACATGAGTCGCTTTGGCATCTATACCGGAAGTACCCTCGAAAACCTTGGTGGATTGGTAAAGAGATATTTTACATGTCAATCGTTAATCACGTAACTGAATAATACAACAGTAACTTATCAAGGAACTACCTGTACGACAGCTCTTTTCCCCTGAACTTCCAGTACTTGTCCAGCACGACGTGATCCATCCGGTAATGTTAGATTAACAATCTCGGCGAAACGAGGAAACTACGAGTACAAAGCGATAAAAGTAATAATAAATCACAAACTGAATAGCCGGTAAAAGTAGATATCGCGATCATGTCAATAGGCTATTCTTACCTTGACATTTTCTAATACGACCAGTGGTCCATTGACACTAGATACAGTCCTATAGTCTATTATACGTATCGGTCGAGTCTATGAATACATTTAGCAACATTTTCAATAAAATTTCGCTTGCAGCCTTCTGTAATGACCTACCTATCCTTGGTTTGAGAGTAAACTTTCTAGTTGCGGCAGCAGCATTAACGAGAAAGGCTTCTCGTTCATCAATCATATCGGTATTTGCTTGAGAAAAATAAGGGCTGTAAAGGGTTTCTATGATGTAGACGATGATCTAGTTGCATAAACCCAATCTGAGATCGAAGTAGATTATCATTGGCTCATCTTGTAACAATCCCGCCAATATTACAGTATTAATATATTAAAATGGTACATAACGATAATCATAATAATAATAATACGTGAAAATCGATAATCACAAAGAATTGTGGGATGTACAGTATATGCAATAATTCCTTATGTAGTAAATGATGACGCCTCGTCAAATATGACATGTAGTGATGTTTTTAAAAAGCATGCCGAG